GGGGGGGGGGCTACTTATAAACATCCCAGGAACCTCTGTAATTTAACCACGTGAATCCCCGGGCCTTTTTCCCCCTTTAAACACCCTTGAGTCCCAGAGCACATTTTTGGTTTAGTAATGTCTTGCTCCTGTACTTTATCTTTTAGGTTTTGTAATCTATACAAACATATCATACAGTGTTATTCTATAAAGAATTTGATAGCAGATTTGGATACATAGATTTTTACTATCTAGTTTTTTATTAGGCAGAAATACTGAAAAATTTAAATAAATGTTTTCCTGCAATTCTTACCAATGGGACTTTTACTTAATTACCACAGCTCCAGGCATGTTCCTCAAAATACAACAGCTGTCAAACTCTACTGATTAAAAGGTTATTACATAAACGTGAGTTTTATGTAATATAACAATGTTAAAGTTCGCAGTGGAAGTTTACATTTAGCTTTATTCCTCTTTTGTCACTACATTGTGACACGCACACAGGAAAAAATAACCGGTTGCATAAATTAACATTCAGATAAGATAATGTTGGGTTGGCAAGGACAAATTAACCAGGTCAGGTTTAATAGAAATCTGTCAAGACAGAGTTGCCACTGCTGACTAGTTTTTGGCCTGTCATCCTGATCCTTCACTACCGAGTCACAGACCTGAACAAGAATGTCAATAATCAGATGTTAACACCTGTCACATCTTTACTAAAAAAAAAACCTGAAGAAAAGGAAGCCAGCTCTGTAGCATGCATCTTAAAAAAACAAGTTGTCAGTGGCCCATATTTTTGTCCTGACATTCCTTTGAAGGCTAAAGGTTATTCCTTTGTCCTGACATATTGCTTTGAAGGCCAGCCTAAAAGTTAGGTTCTGGATAATAGTAGCTACGCAAGCTACATTATCCTGAGCCTATTTCTTTTATGGGTACACTACTTTAATTTTTCCAGTTCATTTTATTTTTAAGCCTGAATCTCAGGCAATTAAACGCAGTTAATAGTGGTGTCCAAATATACTGAGCCAAAACTACTAAGAACAATGGACAACTACAAAGATGCATTCCCATAGGCTACTATTTTAGTGGATCACACCATATAACAGAAGCACCCACTTTTTCCGCCATTAAAGTCCTTTAATCAGATAAGATTTTTGGTGACAAAGGGAATGAAGCCTTTCCAAAGCCGTCATCATTCACATGTATCCAGTGTGCCCTGTCTCTAAATCCAGCAACGGACAGCATATTCCGTAGAGCCACGATAGTGCTGACTACACAGTTGTGTAAGAGCGTGTGGGTGACTGTCTTAGAAAGTATCATTTCAAACATGTCCAGATCACGTATTCACATATTACAGCTGTACCTGTTTGAGCACTCAGTTTAACATTTTCAATATCAATAGAGTCAAAATGCTAATGCAGTAAACTTACCGGCTGTGGCTGCTCTCCAATGCAGCAACTGAAGCAGAAAAGAAATTCGGTCATTTTCTGAAGGGTTAAATGGAAGCTGTTCTCTCTCAAGAGAACAAAAAACACTGATGCTGCCACCACAAACTAATCCGGAAGACACACACCGGAAAGTGAATCAATGAAGATGCTTGTCGACCTTTAAAGGAGTGATCAAAGAGAAAGAAAAAAAAAATCTGAAAGCTTAAAATTACAACATCAGCAATCTAAAAATGCCATTCAGTTTCTTTTGAAGCTCCTTAAAACTAAATACAAAGGAAGCAAATGTCTTCATGTTAATATAGTCAATCTACATTGTAATCACATCCAAGCCAGTAAGAACTTTCCTAAAAGTGCACCTGTGCGCAGACTATTGACATGAAACCATTTACAGATTCATAACAAACAGTAAGGGCTTGTTCACACCAATTGCAGTGCGGTTAGCTGCTGGAACGCACTGTATCGCATACTAAAACTCCTCCCTGTGGTCCAGTGCGATTGCAAACAAATGCTGCATGCACCATTTTTTTTTATTGCACTGGAGCAGAACGCAGACATTGTTGTGCCACACGTTCTGATCGCATAGCGGGCGGGCGGGGGAGGGGTGGCTGCTGGGCCATTGACTTCAATGCACCGCCATGACCCCTCCCACCCTAGAACACGGGGGAGTTTAGTATGCAATACAGTGCATTCCAGCAGCTAAATCGCACTGGAACGCACAGTAATTGGTGTGAACAAGCCCTAAAAGAGCTTTAAAAACCACTCATCCCTGACCTCTCCAGCTGCATTTAATGTGAACTTCTTCCTTCCCAAAGATCTAGCAGCCTGCCAAGAAAAACACAAAAACCAATGTCAGCGTTGTGAATGTACCACCTCCAAGCAACATTTGAAGGTCCCTTTCACACTGTCTGATCTGGAGGAGACTTAATGGATCGCCTAAAAGCAGTCAGAGTGGGAGATGGACGGACAGGTTGGGGTAAAGAGTTCCAGAGGATGGGAGAGGCTCTAGTGAAGTCCTGGCGGCGAGCATGGGAGGAGTTGACGAGGGAGCTGGAAAGCAGAAGGTCTTTTAAAGAGTTTGAGATATAGCCGGGGGCAGAGTTGTGGATAGCTTTGTAAGTCATTGTTAATATTTTGAATTTTATCCATGGGCTATTGGAAGCCAGTGCAGGGATCGGCCGAGGGGGGTTGCAGACACTGAGCAGTTGGTTAGGTGAATAAGTCTGGCAGCAGCATTCATGATAGACTGAAGGGGGGGATAGCCAATGAGGAGGGAGTTGCAAAAGCCAAGACGAGAGAGAACAAGGTCAGTGGATGAGTAAATTACACACACACACACACCCTGCGGGCCCAGGGCCGATACAGCGGCTGTCTATACTGAGAAGGAGGAGAGATTAGCATTCCCCCATCACTGATCTCTCCTCCTCTCTCTAAAGGTGGAAATCGATGTGTATTACATCACTTCTGCCTTTAGCTGTCATTTCTCTGGCTGCTATAGCCAGAGAAGAAGCTGGTGAAGAAGATCATTGCTTCAGCAGCTTCTTTGGGGATCTCTAGGTGACATTAGGGGGTCTTAGAGACCCCTGATGTCTCCATAAAGAGGACATGTCATTGTATATTGACTTTCACATAGGGGGTTTGTTATCCCCCTATGCGACAGCAATAAAGTTGTGTAAAAAAAAAAACAAGTCACAAAAAAATGTAAGTCCCCCAGCCCCCAGAATGCGTCGGGCCATTCATCACTGATGACACTAAACTGATGAGCAGTAAAAGCTTTTAAAGCGTCGCCTATGGCTAATTTTAGGCATGGTAGTTTTTTGCAATTTCGCAGGTGCATGCAATTTTTAAGCTGGACTTGTTTGGTGTCTATCTACCCGACGTGACCCTGTCTTTCATATTTTACCAAAAAATGGGGTGCTGATAAATGTTTTATAACATAACGTAGGGAAAACAAGTTTGTTTTAAAAAATTTTGGCACTTTTTTCCATTATATAGTAAAAAATAAAACCCCCAGTGGTGATTAAAAACCACCAAAAGAAAGCTCTGTGTGTCACCAAAAAATGGTATAAAATTCATTTCAGTACAGCGTTGCATGACGGAATAAATGTCAAAGTACTGCAGCGCTGAATACTGAAAAATGGCCTGGGCAGGAAGGGGGTTTAATGCCCCCGGTCAGCAAGTGGTTAAAGTGCACACCCAGCCTCCACCCAATGTGATGACTGTGTGTAAGCTCCGTGTGTAAGCTCCGTGTGTGCTTTATGTTGCTGTAGTACATTATTGCACTTAGCACTTTATTCTGTTGGATAATATTATATTCAGCACTTAGCAAACATTATCATTAGCACTTTTTGGGCATTTGTGCACTTTAGTTTGTAAAGTTGGCCATACACTAATAGATTTCCAAATACACATTCATACAAAAGATCTTTCTTTACCATCAGCCACTAAAAAATACCATACTCTTTTTTGATCACTACCGTTGAAATCGATGGCCAATTGACCCTCCCATCAACTAATAGAAAACCGAAAGAAAGTTCTTACATACGAAAGTTCTTTAATAAATCTAAAAGGAATGTATGGCCAGCTTAAGGAGTAGTAGTACTGCACTGAATAGAATTTATTTATTTGCGATTTGGAAATGCTTAAAGCCCATCTCTGGGCAAAAACCCCCCACAACTAAACATTGATTAACATCAGGGGTGTAGAACCTGTCACCTCCAAATGCCATCACACATAGGCTTGTTATCTCCTGTGTGATAGCAATAAAGTAGAAAAAAAAATAATTAAAAACATAAATAAAAAATGTAGAAAATAATTAGAAATGGAAATAAAAATGTAAAAAAATGGTGATAAAATTAAAAATAAAATGAAAATAAAGTAAATAAAAAAATTTACAAAGTAAAAAATAAAAAAAAAATAAGTAAAACCAACCCCGCTGCCCCCACTATCTGCATGTGAATAAATGCATGTATAGGGCATTGTGTGTGGGCACTGAGTGCTGCCCCCCATTCCACTGTGGCATTTTGTTAGCTTGGCAGCAGCGCTCTCTAGCACACACAATGTGCATTAAAGGGTAAGTTCACTTTCCAAAAGTAATTTGTGAAAATGGAATTACCCCCTCAAATCTATGTACGATCTGTATCCCATACCGGCGCCAGTGCAGCCCTGTGCCATGTATTCTGAATTTTACTCACAAATTGCGAGCACTCGTTGGTCAACGCGGTCACCTGACGGCGCTGACCAATGAGAACCACTTCTTAGCACTGCTAAAAACGGTTTCGATTGAAAACATTTTGGACAAGTAGATTGTTAGGAGGGACAAGTAGATCAGGCCCCCGCTTTAGTCCTTGGACAAGTAGTTTTTAAAAAAACATTTCTACACCCCTAAATGTCTACAGGTATAGTGAAGAGGACTTTGTCTTACCTGATCCCCCCCTCTCCTGGCAGTCTCCTCTGGCTCAAGGATCGTCCCTTGACGTCCTTATATATAATTCAGGGCTATGGGCTCTGCATTAGACGTAATCACATCAGTGGGTCTCCGACCATTGGAGCACCAGTCTTGGAGCCACCAGGAGTGGGGCTCAGGTATGTAAAAGCCCCAAGACAAAAAGGAGCAGTTAACCCTTCCAGTGCTGGGGCAGTGCCACCGCAAGGGCAGATTATTTTTTTTTTTTTTTTTTTTTTGTGAAAGGGTTCAATATAAAACTTACAAAGTCGCATTCGTAAAGGGATGCTAGGTGTCCCGCACTGTTCTGGCTGCTCCTGGTCTGCATCCAGGTTGAAGCCATATCCTCACAAGTAGTCTTTCACGGAAGTTATTAACCATAACAAAACGGATAAGTTATGCATTAGGAATTTTGTATGGATTGTGAGAAGTTTGGGCTATTAGATATACTTGCATACATGTCTTTTTAATCTTAGCGTGCCACTGTTTTATTACCCAAAACCTGTTTTAGGACTTAAAATGATTATGTTTCTATTGTTCATATCTGACTCCAGGGGCACCTTAAAAGTCCCATTTACTTTTTTTCTCCTTGATTCGAATTTTGGATGTGGTACTTATATATCCACACACCATGGTTCATTAAAGCGGACCTTTACCGCCTTTTACTAAAACTCATAGCAGCACGCAGCTCTGCATGCTGATATAAAATCATCTTACATTCATTAGTTAAACTAACTTAGTATTGTTGCTGCTGGTCATAAAGTGTGTGTTTTTTCTCCAGCGCAGTTTTCACGGTATTCATTTAAACTAACCTGTTTTTAATTTGCTTTCAAATAGAGTTCATCTACTTCCTGGTCCAGTTCAACACAAATGATGTAAGGGCCAAAGTGTTGCATCTTGGGAAGGCTACATCAGCAGAGCATTGCTGGGAAATCTCATGTGACCTCAGGGAAAGGCATTTTCCTCCCCTGAGATGGTGCGCATGGTCACATGTCCAAGTCACATGTGCCAGTGTTCCAGGAAGTAAAGAGATAACTTGTAATCTGCCTTTAGTTAACATGGCCACTGTCAGTAGACTGGGGAAGAAAAGAGAAATAAGGAATGCAAAGAAAACAAAGCCAGCAATTATCTAGAAGTATGTGTTTGTAGATGGTTATTACTAAACATTTCTAAAAGGTGTGTTTCTTGTTATTTTAAAGATATGGGTAGAGGTCCGCTTTAACATGTTAGTGGCTTTTCGTTTTTTAATGGAGAGAACACTGAGCAGATTTTAAGGATAGCTAACGTTACAGAGATCTACATTTCCCATTGAGGGATCCTGATATTGTGTGAACAGTGACAAATACAACCAACAAATGTGTCTTTGTAACTGCTCATACACACCCTAGCATATGCACTTTTTAACATGTGCTTTAATGGGTTTTTAATCCCTTTTCTTTTTTTTGTTTCCCTGTGTGCTATGAACACCCACCGCGGCGTACCGGATGAACACCCACTGCGGCGTGTTGTGGTGCTTTTAGATTGCACTGCAAGAAAATGCAACATTTCCTATTTTTCAGCGCACACCAACAAAGAGAAAAACAGGCGAACGGTCAACCAATTAGTCATTTGCAGCTTCAAAAATATATTCATTGGCCTGATATCT